CTGCTGATAATCCAGACATTATAACCTTTGAAATTCTGCTTTTCAATTTAATGACAAGTTCCTCATATTCCCTACGCAGTACCTCTTTCAGAGTTCTACCTATGTAATTTCTACCTACATGAGTCTGTGACCACTGGATCCTCTCCCTCCCACTGCAAGTTTCTTTCCAGCCCAAAACCCGGCAGTGGATAGGGAACATTGCCATCAGGACTCTTGCTCTTTGTTGCAGAGAACTGTGTCACCAACCCCCCCCCCCCACCTCCTCAGTATGGTATCTTCTTCTGCTTCTTATTCTTTTTCTTCCAAGCCTATTCCTACTTCTACAATTACTGATACTACTATTCAACAATAACAACATTCCTAGTTCTCCCCGCATTTTATTGGCTTCCTGTTGGATGGATTCACGGTCAGTTTGCACATTCGCCCTGCAGCTCGCCACTCCTATCCAAACAGGGTGAGACAGCCTCAAGCCAATGTACAATTTGCAGAGTTTAATACTCCTATCCTCCGGGTCTCCTTCCCTGCCTTACTCAGAGTTACAACCTCCAGCTGCTGTTCACTGACAAAATGAGAAGATCCTATCACAAGTGGTGTACCTACATCCTGATACAAATATTCCAAGCAGCTTTTCCCTCCCTGATATGTAGCAGGGTTTCTTTTTTAGCTTCCAGCTCATGAACTCTGAACTGAAGCTACTTCAACTTCAAACACTTAGTACAGATGTGTTTGCCTTGGAAATAATGGTATTCAGGAGCTCCCACTTGCTGCAGCATTGACACATCAGCTGAACTGCCATGAGTTTGAATTAATTATATTATTCATTTATTTATGTTGTCTTTAATATATTTTAGTATCAAAATTGGTGATAAAGTTAGGATGTTCAAATTTAGCAAAGAAAAGACCTTAACCACTTACCAGAAACTCACCAAACAGCTAGCTTCTTTCTCCATAGTAGAAGGAGAACCAAGTCCAATCAGCTCCAATGAATCGAGCTGTTTCTCTGACTGCCTGCTTCAGGATCTTCATCTTTTCTGCTACTCTCCTCCACCAAAGGCAGCATGGTGGCACAGTGGTTAGCACTGTTGCCTCACAGCACCCAGGTTCAATGCCAGACTTAGGTGACTGTCTGTGGAACTTTCAACATTCTCCCCACATCTGCATGGGATTTCTCTGGGTAATGTGGTTTCCCCCCACAGTCCAAAGATGGTAGGTCGCTTGGCCATGCTAAACATCCCACTAGTGTCCGGGGATGTGCAGGTCACATGCGTTAGCCTTGGTAAAAACCCCATGCAGGTTTAGGAAATGGGGTGAGGAGGTGAGTCTGGATGGGATACTCTTTGGAGGGTCGATGCAAATTCGATGAGGTGAATGACGTCTTTCTGCACTGTAGGGATTCTAAGTTCCAGCTAGCTATAGGGAATCGGGACAATAAATGAAGTATTCCTTTCTGGCAAACTTAAGGAATCAAGTTTTTATTTAACTAATCAGAAATATGAGAGTATGAATTTATGTATAAGGACTAAAGAAATTCAAGGAAAATTCTTGTAAGTTTATTGCTGACGAAGTTGATTTCTTTGAAGGCACTTTTCCCACACAGCAACACTTAATGCAACCCAAATTTATGTAATTATGTAAGATGACATAGGAGATTTCAACGTTTGGAATGCTAACGGACATGATGTGCAGTTGCCCACATAAGCAGAAAGCAGGATTACAATAGGAACAACTCGAATCAGCCTAAGGACTTGTTGCAGTAACTAAGACAACAGAATTGGAGGTGGAAACGAAGTTGCAATTTGTTTTTCTTAAATGTATGTACTTTGCTTCAAGTCTGTAACTGTAACTCTCCTGTTTATTAATAGTCTGAAATTTCAGAGAACACCTCCATATGTATCACGTTATATATTCTGCTTGCTTCTATTCACAGGAAAAAGGTCAATCATAAATAAATACAAGTTAACTTTCATTTGTGTACCATGAGTTAGCATCTGGCTAACTTAATTGAATTACCTGATGAAGGACTGTGAGGGGGTAATGAAGGTGGTAAAGTACTAGATGTATGTTTAAAGGCATTGGATAAAGTAAGATTTTGGTCAAGCTAATAGGGAGAAGCTATTTCCTCGACGAATTAGGTTCTTAACAAGAGGCCAAATTTGATATCCCAAACTTTTGACATTTTTATGCAATATGCCAGAATAGTTTGAGTTACTATGTTAAGCATTATGAGTATAACTTACTCATTGCGTTAATACTATTAAATCATGCTCCAAAAACATGTTTTGCAACATTGGAACTTGACACTTATAGCAGAAAATGGAGGAAATAGAAAGGATTGCAGAGCAATTTAATACTTTTAGTGAAGTGATCATACGTTGAATCTAGCATTCTCTGCAATTTTGTAATCAATCAGAAATATTTCTGGCTCTTACCAGTAGTGTGGTAGCATAAACACTCAATTTAAATGCTTCTTGAATATGATTATATTATTTGACTTGAAAGTTATTATATGGCTGAATCTCTGCTAAAATGAGCAGTTCAAATCAAAAATTCTTTACAACCGTTTGACAAATGAAGAGCAGTTGCAGAACATAGTTGAACCTCAGAGGATGAATATTTCTCCATTCCAATAAATGGGGATGAATGGCTTTTTCTTTGACAAAATATTTTTTTGGAAGACATTCATGGTGGGCAGTCTGCCATACCCATATCAATGTTTTCCTCACAATCATCCACCCTTCAGCTTATTTGTTATGTAATTTTATAGTATGGCAACAGGCTCAGTGAATCATGCAGCAGGAGAGACAGAGATGCTGGCTGCTGCAGGACTTTGCAGCATTCCACAGCACTTCAAATACTGCAAACCATAATCTGCCCTGCATAATCAAGTCCTGCACCCTTATCCTGAACAACAGGGCCCAAAAGGGCAACTTTGCTTTGCTAATAGGGATCTGAAACTGCCTGTGAACAGGTTTCGTCAAAAGAAGTGCAGTTCTTTTTCTGCTGACTGGTGAAGGACACCTTGCCGCCCGCTGCAGTCAGACCAGATACATAGCGGACCAAGTTGGTGCAGCGTCCTGGGTTAACAAAAATGCCTATCAGTGTAGGAAGAAAGTCAATGATTTTCTGAACATGTCTGCCAGATATGCATATAGACCTGCACTCCATTACTGTAGCCATTGGTACTCAGCAGCATGGGCAAGGTGAGAGGGGAACAAGGGACCTTAACCTTACTTTAGTTGGCCCTTCCATAAGGCACCCAAAGGGAGGAGAAGCAGCATGTAGACCCTCCTGAAACTTACTCTCAACATTCCACAGGTACCCAAGCCCCACCATCTTGAGCAGCAGGAGCACCTCCTCATTGAGCTCAGTTTTTGTTCCACAAGGCTACTCGACTCCTGTCCTTATTACAGCCTTGGTCCAAACATGGAAAAAGAGCTAAAGTCCATAAGTAAGATTGATAGCCTTGACATTGAGGCAACATCGTATTGAATATGGTATCACAGAGCCTGAGAAAAACTGGCATTAGAGAGAATCAGGAGCAAAACTCTTTACTGATTGGAGTCATACCTAGCCCAATATTAAAAAAAAATTATGATTGTTGGAGACTAATTATCTCAACTCAGGGCTCAATGGAGGAGTTCCTTCAGGTAGTATCCTTGGCACAAACGTTGTCAACTGCTTCATTAATAAACTCTCCTCCATCATAAGATCAAAAGTGAGAATGTTCACTGATGACTGCAAAATGTTCAATACCATTTTTGATGCAGTCCAGCAGGACCTGGATGCAGAACTTCCAGGCTTAGACTGATAAATGACGATTAACGTTCACACCATAAAAACGAAGGGCATGACTATCTCCAGTTAGCGAGAAGGTAACCATTGCCCTGTGGCTTTCAGTGGTATCACTGTCACTGAGTCCCCCATTATTAACTTCTTGGATGTTACCTGAGACCAGCCATGTAAATAACTTGGCTATAAGAGTAAGTCAGAGCCTAGAACTCTTTGGTGAGTAATTCGCCTCAACTCATCAATGCCTGTCCACCATACACAAGGCAAAAGTCAAGAGTCTGATACAATTTTTTCCACTTTGCTGGATTGGTGCAACTGCAGCAATATTCAAGAATCTCAATATTATCTAGGACAAACTGGCATCCACCATCTTCAAAATTCACTCCGTTTAACACGAAAAGCAGTGGCAGGACGATGGTGTGCCATCTACAAGATGAACTGCAATAACTCACCAAGGTTTCTTCCTTAGCACTTTCAAAACCTGTGACATCTACCACCGAGAACAATGAGGGCAACAGATGCATGAGAACCTCACCATTTATGCGTTCCCCTCCATGTCATTTACTGTCCTAACTTGGAACCATCTTAATGTGCCTTCATTGTTATTGTGTCAAAATCCTGCAACAACTTCTTAACAGTACTGTGGGTATCTCCTACTCCACAACGACAGCAATGGTTCAAGTACTGGCATACCCAGCAATACCCACATTCCAAGAACCTGGAGATATGTTTGTTTTAAAATAGAATTTTGTTAAATGTGCATTAAAAACATTCAAAGAAAATTAAAAACCCTTCCAAAAATTTGCATTTGATTTCCTTGCTGATGTTGTGTAAAAGGAACAGTTACTACAAATATTGTGCTGTGATTACTCTAACCATAAATACTAAAACAAAACAAAGTTTCAATTATAGGTGAGAGTTTATGTTGGTGTAAAAAAATGTAGTGGACTGACTTGAAAGCAAAACGTTGGATCTATTGTTGATAAAGCAAAGATATATATATGAAATGGCAACTGAAAAGAATGACTTAAAATGATGCCTTCATCAAACATTTTATGTAAGTAAGCAAACATTTTCATACTGAGATTATTTTTAAAAATCTGTAGGTGAACTTGTTAAATTCTAAATTGATAATTTGAATATTTTTAAATCACACTCAACCCTAGGAACGTGCTACCTATTAAGTAATGTGCTGCTTTATTTGACCCTAGTGCAAACAGTTGGAGCAGGAACTTCATCTTTTGAAAGAGCAGAATGAGGCATTGGCAAATAATACGACACAACTGACGACTGAAAACAACCAAGAACGTGCCTTGGAGGTAAATCTCTCACATTCTGAGTTAGATTAGGGTCGTAAACCATTGATGCCATTTCTGACCTACTGATATCAGTTATGTACATATCAGTATTATTATCATATGGTACTTGCTAATAACTTTTAAACATAGGCACGGTGTCTTTCAATTTTATATTTTTCTGCTTTTATATTTTATATTATGTTTCTTTTTATGCAAAATATCAAAATGGAAGGTAGGCAAATGGAAACTGCTATTTCAATATTTGTATCTGATCAAACTTCTGACATCTCTTTTATCTATATATACTGCTTAGATTTTTTTATCGTTACCTGGAACTGGACAGTACATCTCTTTTTCAAAGAATATATTTATTCATGTTCATTATGTTTGAATTTACCTTTTACTTCTTATTAGTTAAGTCCATACCAGCAGTGACCATTTGAGCCTTTAGTAGAATTTAGCAGTTGGCATTTTTGTAGATTTCTTCCAATTCATAAAACTAACACCTTTTACGCAGTGACATGTACTGATGCATAAATATATATGAGCTTAAAAACATAAATTTCAAAATTGAAAACTATGGAACTTGTTTCAGTAGTGGCAGTTTGTATTTAGCTTTGAATCCAAAAGTTTGATGTGAGTAACCAGACTCCTGAAGTTATTCCGGTACTCAATTATTGACAGAACAGACACTTTTAACCAGGCACTCAACTCATTCATATTCCTGGAAATTGGTGGGAATGCTCTCTGTTTTAACATCACAAGCTAGGTCAAAAGTACAAGCACAGGCCAAAAACACAGGTTGAGTGGTGTAAGCCCAGGAAGCTACTTTATAGTTCTATAAAGCTGCTCTCAGAATCACAATTAAACAAACATCTGAGTGAAAAGTACTTAAGTGAGCCTATGCACAAGCTGAAAAACAGCTTCTAAATAATGATATATTTTGTTGTGAGGCATGAAGTATGATTTGACCCTTTGTGGCCAGTAACAGCTATCTGCCTTCAAAGGAAATCTACAGAAATGTCAGAGTTATTCTCTAATTTAAAGTAAAACAGATCGCTGGGGGTCGTCATATCAAACCTTCTAGACTCATAGTTTTCGGTTTTACCTCTGAGTTTTACAAGCTTAAAATCTTCCTTCTAAAGACATTGATCTGAATTCTTCTCTGAATTAAATTTGGGAATGAATTTGAAACGATAAACAGAGAAGTATAAATTAGTTACTGCACCAATGGTACCACGGTAAAAACTCCACTTGCATTTCTTCCTGTTTAAAAATATCACTTTGATATATTTCTGTTGAAGTCTACCTGCCCAAGTTTGGGGTCAAAGGGACAAAAGAAGGAAAGCAAACAGAATTGCAGAGCAAGCTGTCAGAGCATAATGAGCACAAATGAGAGCTCAGAACCTTCAAAGAATGAAGATTGACGTGTTGCAGTTGCCCATTCTCTCAATTTCTCTGAAATAATGCCACAGTGGCATGTATCCCGTAACCAAGTCATGCTTTATTTACACTTGGAAAGTCCTTGACACTGATCCCCCAGAGCCAGCTCTCGGAGTGTCATATCCTGTCACTCTTGTTTTTATCTATCAGCAAGGGCTCCCTGATTGAACCAGATTAACAGCCCCAATCTGGGAACACATATTCTATGGATCCACCTGGTTGACCTCATTACAATCACTGCAATCTCCATGTTTATCTTCAGGTAACATCTTTTTAAATCTTTAGACATGTCCCTATATTGTTTTTGTAATAGGGAGACCAAAATGGTGTACTCGAGGTGTAGTTTAAGCAGGGTGTATAAAAGTTTAATCTAATGGTTTTTCAATTCAGCTTTCCTAGCTGTTAATCCCTGTGTTTTATTTACATTTTCCATGGCTTTGTTAACTTGTGTTGCTACTTTCATGAGAATATATACTTAAATTTCTTGGTGTAAACAATTTAGACCTAATTTTTAAGCAGTATGTATCCTCCTTATTCCAAAATATACCACTTCACGTTTAGCTAGATTAATTTTCAGGCACTATTTTTATGTCCACTTTATGTTAATATTGTTGCATACTTGAATCAGATTGAGTTAACAGCCTTACAGTATGTGAATATTCATCAAATAGCGACTATAATATAACTGAGGAGCAAATTACTGCAGATGCTAGAATCTGTACTGGAAACAAAAAGTACTAGAGATCACAGTGAGTCATCCGTGGAGAGAAAGCAAGCTAACGTTTCAAGTCTAGATGACTCTTCATCAGAACAGACCATAAAATAACATGATTAAGTTCAGCATAATGTTTCAAAGGAAGAAAAGTGAAACAGCTCCCAAGATTCTAGATTTAGATAAAGCTGATTTCAGTGTGATGAGCCATAGAAACTGAGTCAATGTTTCAACTTTTGCAATTTTCACCCAACCTGGGCCAAGTTAGGGAAGTAATACATTTTGAGCAAGCGATGAGTTAGAAAAAGAGGAAAGAATGATTTGTTATTTAATGAAGATCGGGGAAGATGAGGAAAGTGGAGGTTTTAGATTTCCAGGACCAAAATGAATGGTGATGGCACATGAAAAGAAGCTAAGGTTACGTTTAGCTGGAGATGTGCTACTGACTAAAAGAAACAAGAGTAAAAAACGAGGGAAAAGATTGAAGCACACTTACCGGCCTGAAATTTTTGATCTCAAGGTTGAATCTGGAAGGCTTGATTAGATGTTGTTCCTCAAGCTTCCTTTGAGCTTCTTTGAAACAGTGATGTAAGCTGAGAACTGAAATATGAGTGAAAGAGTGAGATGGAGAATCAAAATTGCCCACGATAGATCTAACTTTCAAAATCTGTTGTTGAGCTTAGGCTTGAACTGAATGTTCTGCTTTGTGCAAATGAACCAGTGGCCTATATGAGATTCAGCACAATGTGACTCTAGTACGCAGATGTCCTTTTGGTCACACTGGAGCACCAAAATGTAGCCTTCAGTACCAGCATTCAGAATGAAGATGCACCCATGTGACCTTGAAATGACATTTTGGTTAAAAAAAAAGTGCATATCCTGGGCAACCTGGTCATGAGCTACCTTCATAACCCACTACAGATGGTGATGTGCCCAAATATCTGCTGACTTTCTAAAGGTTGTATATTTGGAAGGCACTGACAGGAGAAGCTTTGCTGAGTTCATAGAATCCCTACAGTGTGGAAACAGGCCATTCAGCCCAAAAAGTCCACACCGCCCATCCGAAGAGCATCCCACCCAGACCCATCCCCATCCCCCTGCATTTCCCATGTCTAATTCACCTAACTTAGCATAGCCCTGGACACTACGGGCAATTTAGCATGGTCATTCCACCTAACCTACACATCTTTGGACTGTGGGAGGAAACTGGAGCACCCGGAGGAAACCCATGCAGACACAGGGAGAATGTGCAAACTCCACACAAACTCCAGGAATCGAACCCGGGTCCCTGGCACTGTGAGTCAGCAGTGCTAACCACTGAGCCACTGAGCCACTGTGCTGCCCGGTTACTGCAATATATTTTGTAGACTCTACATACTGTTGCCACTGTCTAATCAGTGATGAAGTCAGTGAATGTTGAAGCTGGTGAATGATATGCCAGTCAAATGGACTGTTTTGTTCTGGTTGGTTTCAAGCTTCTTGAGTGTTGTTAGGGCAGCACTCAACCAGAGAGGTGAACGATATTTCATCACGCCCGTGACTTGTGTCTTGTAGATGGTGACCAGGCACTGGGGAGAAATGAGATGAGTTACTCACTGCATAATCCTTAGCCTAATTTCCTAACTAAGACAATAATTTGCCTTCAATTACATGGGCTTCATCCTTAGCTAAGTCTCTTGTTAAGGGCTTTATCCAATGCCTTCTGAAATTCCATGTAAGTAATTACATGGACATTCATTGTCCAAGGCTTTAGTTAACTCTTCAAAAAGCATGAAGTGCATTGATACCCTTTGTAAATCTCTGATAAGCTCAAGAGTTTAATGTTGTTCAGTTGCCCTATCCTTAATTACAGGCTCAAGTAATTTTTCATGAAATGATGTTAAACAAAGTGGCCTTCCTCTCTTGGCATTTGTTAGCAGACTAAGATTTTAGGAAGACTGTACTCATCAGTTGCCCTCTCATGGCTAGTCAGGCCTATCCATGACTGGCAGATTCTCCCACGGCATATGCAAGTGAAGGTACTGTCCGTGTTGGGGACAATGGAATCTATCCTACTCCTTCTTTTCACTTTCATGCTAGTTCTTTACTCAGTTTCAAAGGTGACTGTAGTACCTCCAGGCATCAGCATCCGTGACTTCGACTTCCCATTGGGCACATACAGAAGTGACGCACAGAATGGGACTTCTTCAGGGAGACCTTGAAACATTGGGCCCCATTTACCAATTGACAGCTCTCACAATCTTGCGACGGCTCAAAGATGAGTGCTACAAAGATCTCTATCCAGAATGTTCCTTCCATGTACAAAATTGTCATCCATGTTGATTTCAACAACAAGTTTTAGCCATGGTAACCTGGCATGGAAGGAAGTGTTCAGAAACCATGGAGTTGGAAATTATGAAAACAGTTGGAAAATCCTGGAACTCTGCAGAGAGCAAATTCCCTTCTGACCACACGTGATCCTGACTTGGAAGTATATTGTTCCTTCACCATCATTGGGTCAAAATCTTGGAATTTCCTTCCTTAATAGTACTGTGGGTTTTCCTACACCCCAAGGACAGCAGTGCTTTAAGACGGCAGCTCACCATCACGTTGTCCAGGGCTATTAGTGATGGGAAATAAATCCTAACCTAGATGGTGGTGCCCATATCCCATGACAAAAAAGAAAAAACTGGCAGAATGGCAGTAAACAGTGGGAATAATGGGCAGAAACTGTAATTGGCAGGAGATGGTTCAGGATGTTAAAGAAAGATTTGTGTTAAGTCCTCTACTGTTGACTCTAGTTAATGATTTATTTGATCAAACTGAAAACCACATACCCACTTTTTCTGTTGAAACAAAAATTGCTTGCATTAAAGGCAGTATTTGA